CTCCTCCAAATCAGCTGCTATCAACAGGTTATCCACATATTGGAGTAGGACTCTCCTTCCTTCCTGGCACAGCTTGAAATTTTCAGCAGGTTATCCAGCCCTTCCAACAAACATGAGTCGATGGTGCTCAGGCCGGTGCGGCAGCCACCACTGTTCACACACAGGGTGTCGGTAGGTCAGAGTGGGTACAGATACCCCCTTTCCCAGCCAATGCACCAGAAAAATGTAGCAGAATAGGTGAATGTTCAGAACTGAGACCCAACTAGAAGGAAAGGAAGACAAACTTTATTTAGCTGGCAGACTCTCAGTGGGATCCTTCCCAAAGAACTGAGAGTACTGCCTTGGATTCAAGCAGTTAGTTTTATAGTAACAGAATAAAGACAGGTGGGACCTCAACATTCAGCCTGGACATATTCCATATAAGGCACAGGTTGGCACTTTTCTCAGCATTCCATTGGTAACATCACCTAGCTACTTCCTTAAAGTTACACATTTCCATATACAGGTGAACAGCTCGTGATTGCTACATGACCAGTTTGTGACTCCCTCCTCCTTCTGGGTCTGCCTTTACTCATGTATACATACTCATTCTGGCATGTATACATCTTGACCGTTGCCCACTCTCCCTTCAGGACTGTTTATTTGAGCAAAGACAGTATTTTAATACAAGAAGAACAAGAGATACCTAATATTCCATGCTAGTATAAGACCCTCTGGCCTCGATGTGGTTTTCTTTTACATTTTAAACAATTTTTGACTTCTATGTCTACTTCAGCAGTCCCAAAATGCTGCAGTCAAAATGCTGACTGAGGTCAGTTACAAGGAAGATCTAACTCTCTTGGTGAAGCAGCTTTACTAGCTACTGATTCATTTCCAGGCAGAATGCAAATTGCTGTTATCACCTATAGAGCCCTATATGCTTTCAGTACAGCCTATCTGAAAGACTATGTCTTAAGTGTTGAAATCCTCTGGGGTGGACCTTCTCTTGGTAACACTGCAATTGTAGAATTGTTTTGAAAAGATACAGGAGAGAGCAGTGGTATCACTGGGGGGAGGGGGGTACGGACTGCACCAGGTGACACCCTGAGGTGTGTGTGTGTGTGACACCACTGGTTCTCAAACGCCTACCTTTTGGCAGAAATGGGTTGTGGCATTCATCTGTTTCCCTTTAAAATGCTTTAAGAGATGTGGGAGTGTGGTAAAGCTCAGTGGGAGGAGAAAGGAGGTAGCCCCCAAATTTTTAGAATTAAAATTTAAAATTTTAATTTGTTTAATTTTTATTTTTTTAAAAAATTATTATTTTAAAATTTTCTTTTAAAACATCACATTTTAACCAAATATTCACTATGTATATGTAAATACATTTAGATTATGCTTATGATATTGTAATTTAAAGATATAATTTTAATTTTGCTAAGAATTTATGTCACAACTATTAGCATTACATTCAATGGTATATGGGAATTATATTTTACAAGTAATATTAGTGCAAAAAAGCATTACTAAGGATTCTGTATGGTGTGAAATGGGAGGAGGTCAATGGGGGGAGATGACACCATGAGTTACTGCACTGGGTAACATCAACCCTGGGAGAGGGCCTTCTTGGTGGCTCCTCCCAGACTGTGGAATCTCCCATGGGAAGGTAGGCTGGCCTTCTCTTTGATCTCTTTTTGCCTGTTTGAATAAAAACAGCCATTTAATGAGAAATTAATTAAAGAGTGTCATGGGTGTGTGTGTGCTGTATTCTTAACTATATTGTTATGCTTTTAAATTATTTTATACTTTTAGCAGTTTAATGGCATTTTAATATAAAAAGTGTCTGACTATGTTTTAACTTTATTATTAAGTTTTAGCTTTTTCTTGTTTCAGCAGTTTTGTAAGCCTCCTTGAGTTCCATACCAGGAGAAAGGCAGGATCTAAAATCCATCCATCCATTATGTTTGTATAATAGATGCACCTCCGAACACCAATTCAGAGCTACTGCAGTTTACAACTAACTTCTTTTTATCAGCTTATTCCATGGAAATCTGATGTGGCTCTGTATATATATATATATATAGGCACTTTGCTGGGAATTTGGAGCTTTCATGTGCACAAATGAGGTTTTGCTTCCTTTACTGGAGGGAGCATCTCTACATGCAGATGTAACATTTTCCATGATAGCAATGCCAGATATCACCTGCCTTTTGTGACTGGACAAACTATCAACTGTTATCCATTGAACTTCCATTCCTTCTCTGAATAAACCTGCCATCACAAAGATTATCTTCTGTATAGTCTGGTGATATGAAGCAGATCGTAAACACAACAGCCTTCCAGGACTGAACTAAATCCAACTAGTTTCCTCCATGCATGGAAAATCCACTAGCAGAATGAGAAAAGCATTTCCCCACAGTTCTTGTAACTTCCAGATCTGCTTGAGATTCAACCTCTGAAACAGATGTTGGGAGGGTGAAAATGTCTATGGGTGTACCATTTTGCCATTCCACTGGGAAATCTTCAGGGGCACCATATAAAAACAACCCTCTCCTCTATTTTGTCCAGACATTCTTTGTCCCATTTATCAAGCTTAAAACAACATTGTAAAGAAAAGGGTTGAGATCCTATTTTTTCTTTCTCAGGGGTCATTCAGACCTCG